AGAGAGAGAGAGAGAGAGAGAGAGAGAGAGAGAGAGAGAGACTGTGTGTCCATTATACTGAGAGTAGGCCACACCCCAAGGAAACATCCTTTCAACTGATTGGCATCATAGAGTTAACCATGTGTATATTCGGTTTTATCACCATGAGAATAAGCACATCCCAACTACTACACCTCTGGAAACCCTGGCCTAGTTAAGTTGACCATTTGAATAAAGTGGCCTGATCTCAATATAAGGAGCTCTGGTAGCGTAATTACCAATTAGGCTGCTAATCTCACAGTCAGCAGTTCGAAACTACCAGCTGTTCCATGGGAGAAAGATGAGGCTTTCTGCTCCTGTAAAGATTTACAGTCTCAGAAATCCTATCCAGGGTTGCTATGAATTGGAACTAACTCCACGGCATATAACCACCACCACCAATGGCCACTGAGCCGGTTCTGACTCATAGTGACCCAGTATAGGGTCTCTCATATTTCGGATATATTATCAGGAGGAACCAGTTGCTCCCTGGAGAAGACCATCATGCTTGGTAAAGTGGAGAGACAGCAAAAAAGAGGAAGATTCCCAATGAGATGTTTGTACTTTGTTTTCAGTGTGGTTTGGCTTGGTCAACATAAGGGCTTAGGTCATCAAAGGAAGATTTTAAATGACAAGTTCATAAACCAGGTATTTTCATTGTGAACTACCAAGGTTGTGATGTGTTGGTGACCAGGGTCACCCCATCACAGGACTCCACAGGTCACTGTACACTTTACAGTGTATGTATGTGAATGGCACCCTTCTTCCCCCTAGCCCCCACCCCAAGAGTAGCACAGGACACACGCGGTGATGCTGCAAGTGAACTGTCCCATAGGTAAGCCTCTCCTGTAATTTTGTTCATGCTCACAGTATAATTTTGCACTTCATAGGACAGAAACTGACTGAATCATATTGTTAGGCCCTGTGTTCATTATGGAATTCTGGTGTGGCACTGTGGGTTAATGCGCTGGACTGCAAAGCCGGTTTGAACTGCAAGGTCAGCAGTTCACGTGTACTAGCTGCTCCTTGGAAACCCTATACAGTGTTGCTATGGGTCAGAACAGACTTGGTGGCACTTGACAACAATAGTGTAGGAGGGTCTCAGTCTCTCCACAGCCTTGCCAGCATTTGTTGAGTTTTTGTTTTTTTTAACTTTGCCATTAATGTTGGGGTAGGATGCTATCTCATTGTTTTGCCTTGCATATATCTAATAGCTACTGTAGGATTAGCACAGGACTTTGAGTTGGTAGTTCCAACTCACCAGCTGCTCCTTGGAAACTCTATACAGGGTCCCTGAGTTGTAACCAACTCAGCAACACTTACCAACAACTAATGGCTTATGATGGTAAGCATTTCTTCATGTTTGTAGGCCACCTGAATGTCTTCTTTGGTGAACTCTCTCTTCATATCCCGTGCCCATTTTTTAATTGGATTAGTTTTCTTTTTGTTGACGCGTTGAAGTGTTCTATAAATTTTAGACAGCATGGGGCCTGGAAAATTCGAATGCTTTATAATGTGTATGAATGAGAGTCCCACTTCCCTAGGAAGGAAACACAAAAATAATCTCTAGCTTTGGCTTCAAGAATGCTCTCTTAGAGTGGGGGAAACTCACTTAGGCTATTCTTGTGCAGCTATCATAAATAATTTGGGGACTATTTCTCAGTTATATATCTGACTAGAGTGCCATAACTCTGACATTCCTTGTTAAAGGCAACTCCAGCTACACCTAAGACACCTTAATAAAAATTGACGGAAAGACCTATTCTACTGACACATTGTCAACATTTAATCACTTCCATCAGCAACTGAGGCTTCAATGCAAATCACCCCAAGCAGCCAGCCTTTGGGGGAAGAAGACTGGCATTTCCAAGCTCAGAGGAATGTGTTCAAATTGCGCAGTCTGGAGTTTGTTCCCGTTTTTAAAAAAATCCTTCCTTTTAAAGGGACTCCGTATGCATGACCTATAAAGGAACTTTATCCTGATGGATGAGGCAGGGAGAATGAATCAAGGAAATAAATTCAAGGAAGTTGCTGACATGACTTTGTGTTTCCTGTTGTCTCACTTCCCTTTCTCCCAAGGCTCCCTAGTTTCTACCTGTTCTCATAGAACCTTTAGCTCCTTGAAGAAAAACAAAATGCCTAAGTTTGCTGAATGTTTTCTTTGATATAGTTTGTTCTTATTCACTTGGAGATTTAAGGAAGCCTTCACACAGATTAGAATTGTAAAATTTTTCTTTTGGAATCTCCAGGCTCTAGTCACCCAATCAAATGGCATGAAAGAAAGGGAGATTGCATAGAAAAAGGAGGTGAAGAAGGAAGGAGAGGAACCAGAGTCTAGAAGCTGGACAGACTCATCCTCAGCTAGGCCCAGCTATTCCTGGATTTATGCAGAGGGTCAAGCCCTCTCTCAAGGTTTGAGTTCTGAAAATAAGCCTGGAAAGGTGGGAGGCTGGATCCCAATGGATCTGAAGAGGTCCCTCTTTGTGTCTTCACCAAGTGGGGTGAAGAGCTACACAAGGGCTGGACATCAAGGAGAGAAGGGGCAGATCACACCCCTTAGTTCCATTTCTCCAACTCCCTTGCACAGAGCTAGAGCTTCTAAGAATGTAAAGGTACAGCTTTTACATGCCTGGGGAGACACATGGCAGACTGAGTTAGAAGTACTAAGGACCTCATTCCCAAACTGGGAAGTTTTTGATATTGGTTCTTAGGGATGTGTACTGAGCCTAGTCAATATTCACGCGCTAGATCCTTTAACACCTGTAACTTCAGTGATGAAGGTGGGGCACTTGAGATGACCACACTCAGACCGCGCTTGGCGTTAGACTGAGGTGGCACGAAAGGGACAGAACCTGCTTTGATCAACAGTATTGTTAAGCATCATTGAGCTGGTTCCAACTCATAGCAACCCTGTGTAGGATTTGAGAAGCAGCTTGTGGGTTTGAACCTCTGACCTTACTTATGGTTATCAGTCTAGTGCTTACTCTTTATATATGAAAGACCCAGTAAGCACTAATTACCTTTTGATCTGAGAGGAAGGTGACCGTTATATTAATTTGACTTAGACACTATTTGTGGGCCAGGGATGGGATAAATATTTGGTAATATTTTCTTACGTGTAAGCCAAAGTACATGAATTATACAGCACTCTGGTGTGGCGCTGTGGGTAAATGCGCCAGACTGCAAAGCCATCTGAACAGCAAGGTCGGCAGTTCAAGCTTACCAGCTACTCCTCAGAAACCCTATACAGGGTCACTATGGGTTGGAATCCACTCGACGGCTCTTAATAACAACGCTTTATACAATGCCACAAACTTTCCTTTACCTCTTTTTGTTTAGTGCTATAGTCTGCTCCAACTCAGCAACCATGTATAGGTTTTCTGAGCAGCAGCTGGTGAATTTGAACCGCCAACCTTGCAATCCAGTGCCTTACTTTCCACCTAGCAAGAGAGAAGTTTAAAGAATTAAAAATGAAGAGACACAGACTCTGTACACCTGTTTCAGAGTTACTAATTTCTTCTTTAATCTGACATTTTGTCATTCTGATTTGACAGATTCACGAGCTGATGAAGTCTCATTTGTTTGTCCTTTGTTGTCACACTACAATCGGTAATGATATAGGCAGAGATATAGGCATTTAATGACATATGCATTGATATTTAACAGCTTGACAGCAAAAGTGTACTAAAATAAGTGAACCACCTGCCTTTCTTGCAAGGTGACCTTGGATAAGGCATTTTCTCTGAACTTCCCATGTGTAATAATGAAAGTTGTATAGTGACTTTTCTTTAGCACTTCTGTGCCTGACATTCAGCTAGGCTTTCTTCACAAAAAGTCCGTTTATTCATGAAGAAAGTGGGGCTTAGAGATAAGCACCTGCTAACAAATGCCAGCAGTCTCATTCCTCAGAAACTTCAGCAAGGTCAGATCTTTTCCTGCTCTTTATAGTGTGAACCCAGCCAAATAATTCTTTGCCAAAATAATCCTTCAAGCGGACGAAAGTGTTCTGGATCCTAAACCAAGGGGATGAAAGACTATGACAGACCAAAGCAATATACATGGCCCTCCTCCGAGTCTGAGACTGGAGTTTCCGATTACTCTTGCAACAGCCCTCCCACACCCCGGGCTGTGAGGCTAGCTCATACAGCGTGAGAAGCTACTCTCTGAAAGGGTTCCGTAGCTGGCTGTGGTGAGTGCCCCCACACTCCACCTGAGGATCGAAATGAGTCTCAGAAAAGGAGCCTGTGCCCTTCGTAAACCCCAACTCAAAAGAAAATGGTCAGATAACTCTGTAAAAATCTGTTTAATAAATATACATCTTAGAAGTACCAAAATAATTACCAACAAAATACATTATGTACACCATTTACAGGAGGATAGCACAAACCTTGGACAAGTAGCAGCTCAAGGCTTTAATCCCACACCGCTGAAAGTTTAACAACACACCTGGTTGTTACATGTCACTAGATACAACTGGGGTGAGCCACTAAGCCCATGGCAGTTCAGTCAAAATGTACAATAAATAAAATGTGGTCCTTTTTGTCAACTTTGGATCCAGCAATTTTTCGTGCTCCCCACACCCTTCCCCGAATTAACACAAATAACAAAATGAAGACTGACGCACCACCGGAACATGTACGGGACCAGGCAGTATGCAGTGTGGGTTGTGTGTTCATCCTTTGCATTTTTTTCTTCTTTTTGTTTTCTATAGAAAAATAAAACTCTCTTTTTGTACAAATATACAAGATGTCCATGTTTCTTTAGATACTTTCTGTTCATAATGCCAGGCGCTGGCCTCCAAGCACACAGTCATCATAGGGCAGCTGAAAACAAGAGGAAACAAAGCATGTTAAACTTCCAGAGCTTTCCCAAGAATACTGGGATGATGGGAAGGAGGGTGCCTATGTATAGGCAACAACTCAAGTATCTTTAGACTATTGGGTTACTCCATAACCAAAATCTAAATGAACTTTGCAGTTTTCCTTTGATGCTCCTTTTCTTTATAAAAGGGGAATTTGTACCAAAAAAGACTGCTTCTGGGATACTGGTTAAGCACAAGTTTGAGAACTTTATTGTGTTGAGAGTATGACAAAGAATTGCTCTCGGGACACAGGAGGATGGAGGAAGATGGCTACACGACTATTAAATTTTTTGCAGGGTTGGCGGTTGAAGCAGTTTAGTGGAGACTCACCTCATCCTCAGTGAACTCTGACTCCGTGTCATAGCTCTCCTCATCCTCACTCTCAGGCAGCCTCTGCAGGTTTTCTGGGGTCAGCTGACCCAGCTGCTGCTGTATCCGAGTGCTTGGGCGGCCCCAGGTGAGCTGGTACGCAGAGTAGCCCTGGTAGGTGACTTTGTTTACATCAGCGCCACATTTCAACAAGAGTGACACCAGGTCAGGATTCTGCAGGTCCACTGCGAGGTGGAGGGCAGTCCGGCCATTACAAGGCTCCTAAAATCAAAAGGAATTCACCACGTTTAAGGCCGAGTTTGGAATTTCTACTTGCAACAAGTCTTACTCCGAAGGAGGATGCTGGAGCTTGATTCACTCCACCTTAAGGTAGGAAACACGCACCTGAGCATTGACGTCAGCACCCAAAGACACCAAGAGCTCCACAATGCCCAGATAGCCATGGATAGAAGCCAAGTGCAGACACGTGTGACCTAAAAGCAACAGAAGAAAAGGATCGTAACTGGTTTCATCCCTTACATCTTGAGTAAAATCTTTCACCTATTCTTTTAAGGGTTCTGAATGAACTTTACTGAAAAAAGCACCAAACAGGCAAATTTGTGTACATATTTTCTCAACCTTTTCCATATTTGAAATTTAAGGACTCATGCCTGGACCTGTTAAGTGTGCAGACTACTGCTGGCCAGCCCCCTTTCCCCAAGGCACCTTGCTCCCTGGTTGGGCATGGCTAGCTGACTTACCATTATAGTTGGTGGCCTGTAGGATGGAGTGAAGGTGCTGGGTTGGGGAGGTCTGTGTTAAGACTCCCACACTAGCCAGGCAGCCCTGCTCACAGGCAAGGTGTAGGGGGGTGTTTCCTCGAAAGTCCCGAAGCTCAGGATCACAGCCAGCTCCCAGAAGAACCTGAGCAATTTCTGGCTGGTTGGTGATCACAGCCAAGTGCAGTGGAGTCTACAAACCAAAGAGAGGCAGAAAGAGGTTAAAACACAGACCAAACATGCAATCTGGGTTCCCTTGGGCCCCAGACATCTGGTTTGGGTGCTGCTCCTCCCACAGAAGGCACAAGGGGTGAGGGAAATTCCAGAGGCCCCAGAAGAACCATAAAGCAAATCAGTGGGATTTTCTTTACTCTTTTTGATTGTTTGTTGTTGATTTGATTGTAAAAAGCTAGGGCAGATAATCACCAGAGACTTAATTTAGAAAGGATTTGAATTAATAATTGCTTTAGAGCCATGTAGTTAATCTAAGCCCACCACAGAGTCAGAAAGGGCATAGGGCTGGCCAGTGGCGCACCTGCTGCAGGTTGTTCTGGAAGTTGAGGAAGGCCAGGTCTCCCTTCACTTGGCGGATCACTTCCATGGTCAGTGCCTTCTCTTCATGGATGATGGCCAAGTGCAGGAATCTGCAGGGAAGAGAGGGAAAAACCCCCAGGGGTGGTGAGTGCACTGCGTGGGGCCCTGGGAGGCGCGGCTGCGGGGGATTGCGCAAGGCCGGGGTTTCTGGAGGCCGAGGCCGCGGTGTTTTCCGCGAGGTTATTATGAGCTGAGTGTTCCTGGCAGGCGCCCAGGGACTTTCCGGGCCCCCCCCTCCTCCGCCCCGGGCGCCGGCCAGACCGCCCCGCCCTCCCGCCGGGCCGGAACGCCCTGTACTTCCCCTCCCGGCCGCTCGGCGCCCGCCAGCCGCGCAGAAACTCCCGCCCCCCTTATGCAACCCGGGACTTCGAGGCCGCCCCGCCCCCGGCCGGGAGGTCCGGAACGGGGGCAGGGGTGTGTGGAAACGCCACAGTAGAACAGAGGTGCTGGGCCGCAGCCCCTGGGGTCTGAGCCTGCGCCCCCTGTGCCTTCCCCAAGCAGACACGTAGGTTTGCATGGTTTGGGGGTCTGTGCATAAACCCCGGTTTGCGGCCGAGCGCATGCCCTGCTGCACCGCGGGCCCCAGTGGCTCCGGCTGCAGGCCCGTGGCCCCCCAACCCCACCCCGACACTCGGCCCTGCAGCACTTACGAGTCTCCGTCCTCGGTGAGTTGCTGCTTCCAAGGCTCGGCGCCGCAAAGCGGCTCTTGCGACTCGAGGCGGATCTCGCGCAGCTCCTTCACCATCTGCTCATACTCCTCGTCCTTCATGGAATCCAGGCCGCTGTCGTGGCGGTCGTCCAGCAGCCGCTCCTTCTTCAGCCCATCCCGGGGGCCCTCCATGGCCCACTCCTGGGAGTGCTCGGCGGGCTGAAACATGGCGCGGCGAAAGCTCAGGCGTTACTCCCCAGGTGCGCTCGGCTGCGCTTCCTCGCTGTATCGTTCACTGGCAGGACGGCGGGCTTGGACTGTTGTGAGCTCTGCAGCGCCGCCGCGGCGCCCTATAAACGCTGGCAGGGGATTTCTCCGGGGCGGGGTCAAGAGCGGGGAATTTCCAAGCAAGTCAGACCAGAAACGAGAACTGGCCTCGTCCTCTGCTAGTGGGAAAAAGAAGTCTAAATCCTGTGCTGGGGTTCAATAGAGAAACTCCCTGATATGAGCCGCTGGGGTCATGTACAGGGAACTTTTTGATGAGCGCTGAGTGTCTGGAAAATCCTCCCGACAAAGCCCCCTCCCAGGTACTTCCCTGCAGGCAGCACTCACTAATCCTGGTCCTCTGCAAAAAACCTTCTTTCCCTGGGGTTTCCCTCCATCAATTTGATTTGGGGTCGTCTGCTGCTGAGATCCCGAGGACGAAAACCTGCTAGGCCGTTCCTCCTTGGGGTTTGCCAACCTGCAAGCCCTTTCCGTTTTTTGATCTTTTGAAAACGCAAGAGTGGAAATGATGGCTGAGTGTAGGGATTCGTTTCCCCAAACTTATCTTTGCGTGGAAGGTTGCTCTGTGTTCCTGCCAACAGTAGGCTCTTTGCAATGCAGGAGCATTTAGAGTTCCCAGGCAGAAGTTGTGAAAACTTTGTTGTTAAAAGCCTAGTGCCTGCAGAACCCTCAAATCGTTTCTTTAGGATTAGCAGCCCTGTTTACTGGGAGTGATTGTCCTAGTAAGTGGCAAAGTGCTTAAACATAACCCTAATTATTTCAAACAAAGCAAAGCGTTGATCTTTGTAGATACCTTGCAATGACAAAAGAATAAAGCTCTCTGATTTGCATTGTGCTTCTGCAGAAAATGAATCCTAAAAGCTACTTCTTCCCGTTGGAGCAAGAAAGTGTTGTAGAAATCAAAGACTTAAGGAAACTTAGTCTAAGGTACGGACACAAACAATGGTTCCAAAATGACCACACCAAGGTCACCTCAAAACCCTATCTCCTGCCCACCCCACTCCTGCTATCTAGGAAGGAGCAGACAGACCCCCCCCTCCTCCTGCTGCTTTAGTTATGCCTATGCTAGGAAAGAGGGAGTCCTGGTGTGGTGCTGTGGGCTAGTGCACTGGGCTGCAAAGTCAGTTTGAACCGCAAGGTCGGTGGTTCAAACTCACCAGTCCCTCCTTGAAAACCCTACTATACAGGGTCTCGATGATTCGGAAGTGACTCGATGGCACTCAAAAACATGCTAGGACAGAACCTATAGCCCTTCCTCTCACCATGCTGGCTGAACCCCTTTTTCTCTAGGAGGGAAAGCACTTTGACTCTCAGTAAAACTTTTTGATCCAGCCGGCCACACCACTGAACCCCTTTGTTGATAAATTTCTTTTATTCTCTTTCTGTAATAAACTAATGTCTCTAGAAATTCGTTCTGCTGCTTTTTTGTTTGTTTTGTTGTTGTTGTTGTTTTTTGGTCTCTTGGCACCCATCTACTTGGAAGGTTTTTCCCTTCTAGACTTGAAACCCAACAAAAGAAGTAGTGGACCAAACAACCATAGCCTCCACTAGCCTAACACCAACCTGCTGCCCAGCTATGACTACCAACAGCTTTGATTGGGATCACTCTAGAAGTTTCAGGACAGAGTGGGAGAGAAATGTGTAGGACAAAATACAAAATCATTAAAGTACATTTCCTGGTCTGATAGACTGGTGGAACCCCCAAGACTATGGCCATTTAGACAGCTGCAGCACAGAACTGAACCCACTCCCGGAGGTAACCTTTCAGCCAATTAATAGACCGTAAATGAACAACATCCCAAAGGAATGGGCTCCTAAGAACAATCAACTGCAGTAGACCCAAAGGATAGCATTTGCCCCAAAACAAAGTTCAGAAGGCAGAAATGGGCAGAAAAGATGGGTAAGTGACATTAGGGAATCCAGGGAAGTGGGAAGGGTCCTGTTACATAGAGGGGATTGCAGCTAATGTTGCAAATCAAAATGTGTATCACTTGTTGAATGGAAAACTCATTTGCTATGTAAACTTTTAACTAAACCACAATAAAATGTTAAAAACAAACAAACAAAAAGAACACCCCCCCTACTTCTGGGTGCCCAGCTGGGTGATATTTCAGGAGCGATTGGAGAAAGATGCTGAGCAAGCATGAGTTGAACTGTGTTTACCCAAGATTGAGGCTTAAGGATGGCTAAGAATTAAGCATTCTGCAAAAGACCCTAAGACAATTCTAACACTGCCACATATTGCCCTGTTGGCTGCTGCTTGCTGCCCCTGACCTGAGGGAAGTGGGGTAATAGTTGGATTCATCCACCTACACCACTCTTGAGAGAAAGGGGTTTGAGCTCACCACCTTTGGTTTCATCCACAGAAATGAAATTTATGATCCCTGCTCCACCCTCACAACCTAACCAAAAAGCCATGAAATGAATTCATCTAGTTCTGGTGTAGCGTAGTGATTATGAGTTGGGCTGCTAATCTCACGGTCAGCAGTTTGAAACTACCAGTGGTTCCATGGGAGAAAGATGAGGCTTTCTACTCCAGTAAAGATTTACTGTCTCAGAAATGCTATATAGGGTCGCTATGAGTCGGAACTGACTCCACAGTACCTAATCACCAACCACCATCTTGGGGTGGTGCTGTAGGGTAATGCACTGGACTGCAAGGTCGGTTTGAACTGCAAAATCAGCAGTTCAGAGTAACCAGCCACTCCTCGGAAACTCTATACAGGATTGCTGAGAGTCAGAATTGATCAACAGCACTTAACAACAACAACTTCCAGAATTGGTCTAGACAGAATAACGCAATTTAGATCAGAGTTCTTCAGAATTAGCCCCAGAAGGTCTCTCGTTTTGCAGAGTCTTTTGGTGATTATTTCAATGATCTTTTCCTTCATTGGCTATGTATTAACCAACCCTTCCCCTCATCCCGTATCTCCCTACAACTCCCAGTATTTGAATGTAGGGAATTTGTGTCAATGAGGTAAGACACTAAATATGAAAGGGAAGAAAAACCTAAAATCAAGAAATAAAACCTTTAAAAAAAAAAAAAAAAAAAGCAAGGAAACCTTTACAGCAGCAATTACAACATGCTAAAGTGAAAAATGCCAGAGGTAGACTGCATTGTAGGCATGTGATATGAGAATATCCAATGAGTGTGAGGCAAGATGAAACACGGACTATCAGTGGATCTCGATTCCAAGCTCTGCCTCTAATTAACTGCGTGTTAGTTGTGATCAGTTAACTTTTCTATGGTATACTTGCTTAAGAAATAAGATTGAATTGAATGCTACTTAAGGTTTTCTCCAGTTTAGAAACGTAATTACTTTGTCATGAACGCATGTACAACCCTAAGGGTGCCATGAATGCATGTACAACCCTGTACATGTAAGGCTTTTAGAAATATCACAGTACAGAGTTTTGGAAGCACTCAAACACTTTATGCATCGTATTGTTAGTTCTCAAAACACCTCTTATAAGATAGGAATTGTTCCTACTTTTCTAAAGAGAAACTGAAGTGCAGAGAAATTTACCCAGGCATCCCATGGTAGTTTTATCTAATTTCTAGGATAAGCACTGGACTGCTAACTGCAAAGTCAGTGGTTCAAAGTCTATACAGGGTCACTGAGTCAGAACTGATTTGATGGCACTTGATAACAAAACCACCCCACTATATTAATCATATGGCCAACACATCGTGAAGACAAGACTGCACTACAATTTGGAAGGTGCTTGCTATGTTTGTTCTACTCAGATAAAAGACAGGTGCTTCTCTATTTGGAGAGGTTCACTTCTTTAAAAAAACTAACATAGCAATGTGGAATTCTAAGTATCCCATTTATAAAGGGGAAGAATATTAGCTGCAGGTTTTAAAAGTTATTATTAAAAAGAAAATCATATCTAAGTGAAGATTTACTCAGGAATAAGGCTACTAAACTAAATTTCTTTGCACTGTCTTTTCTAGTTATATATTCCTGGTGGTGTTCAGTAACTGGTGGTGTTTATTCCTGATTGTTCAGTGTGACATCTAGTGGTAAAAGTTAGGCCCAGGAGTTTCCCGATTTGGGGAGGTACTGAGCCTTGATGACCTGTCCCTACACTGGGGATTCCCAGAAAGGCACCTTTTGTTTTCCTGCAGCCCTGGGAGACAGTTGAATAATGTGATCTAACAGGTTCTCCTTATCATGTATGTATGGTTTAAATCAATAAGCATTACAACTTGAGGGGGAAAAAGAATGCTCTTGGAAATCAGAAACCATGAACAGAGGTAGAAGAAGAGAGCATACCGCCGGTCTGATGTTCAGTTTAGAAAGCCCTTATGGACTCTTCAGTACCTAGATTATTTATCCCCACCTCAATGTCAAACAATTCAGCTGACGTTGACCATTTAAAGCTGTTTAAAGATACTTCGGACATATTGTCAGGAGGGACCAGTCGCTGGAGAAGAATCTCATGTTTTGTAAGGTGGAGGGTCAGAGAAAAAGAGGAAGACCCCCAACAAGATGGATTGGCCAAGTGGCAGCATCGATGGACTCAAGCATGGCAATAATAGTGAGGTTGGCCCGGGATCAGGCAGTGCTTCGTTCTGCTGTGTATAAGGTCGCTATGAGTCAGTACCGACTCGATGGCACCTAACAACAACAACAAAAATGATGAATTCATAATCTCATTTGCCTTTTCTCTTGTTAATGTAGAAGGCAAAAAAAATTATGTTACATCCTGACAGTACTTTATATTTTAGCTCTCCATGAAGCCTTAGGGAATGCCAGGTGGCCAGCAGTGCTCCCTAGGTATTGCTGTGGGCCTAAAGGAGCACTTGGGTGGGACAAGAAGTCTTCCCTTTGTGTACTTTTCCCTTGATGGGAAATGCAATGGGGACTGAGCCCACTGTCCAAAGTGCTTTAGCCTGGCATCATAACAATTTCTGTAAATTCAGTAAGAAGCTCCAATACCCTGGGTTTTTCTTAACATCAGCAGAGTTGTTGTTAGGTACTGCTGAGTCAACTCTGTATATACAGCAGAAGGAAACACTGTCCGGTCCTGTGC